GTTGCCACCAAGAAAGATACAATATCCAGATGTTGATTTTCTATCCCATGCACCTGCCCAATCTGCATCTGTGTACCCAATAATTTCAAGGTTTCCATGGTCTTTGTATAACAAACCAGTGCCTGGAGATTTTTTAATATATCGTAAAATCCGAATGGCAGCTTCCCAATGACTTTCACGTGGAGATGACAAGAACTGACTAACAACACTTACCGCAAAAGAGATATCAGGTCGAGTTACAGTTAAATAAAGTAATCTTCCAACCAATCGTCTATATTTTCCCGGATCTTTGATAAGCTCCCCCTGGTCTGGTAGGAGTTTGATATTTGGATCCATAGGAGTGTCAAGAGGTTTGCAATTCATCATACCTGTGTCTTCTAGTATATCCAATGCATACTTTCTTTGTGATATGCAAATTCCTTGCTTGGATTGTGCTACTTCAATTCCCAAAAAGTATTTTAACTTCCCCAGATCTTTTGTTTCAAAATGTTGGAATAGATGTTGTTTCAACAATTGTATTCCTTCAACATCATCTCCTGTAATGACGATATCATCAACATATACAACAAGATAAATGCTCTTACCATGTTGATGTCTATAAAAGACGGAATAGTCAACTTTGCTTCGATTTAAACCAAAATTTTGCACTACTATGCTGAACCGTCCAAACCAGGCACAAGGAGATTGTTTTAGACCATAGAGAGAACGTTTGAGCTTACAAACCAAGTTACTCTCCCCCTGAGCAACAAACCCAGGAGGTTGCTCCATGTAGACTTCTTCCTCTAAATCTCCATGCAGAAAGGCATTTTTAATATCTAACTGATGCAAGGGCCAATGATGAACGGCAGCCATAGAAAGAAAGATTCTGACTGAAGCAATTTTAGCTACTGGTGAAAAGGTGTCAGTGTAATCAATCCCAAAAACCTGTGTATATCCTTTGGCTACCAGGCGAGCTTTAAGTCTATCAACCTGTCCATTGGGCCCAACTTTCACAGTATAGATCCATCGGCAACCAACAGTTGTTTTACCTTCGGGTAATGGAACTAACTCCCAAGTTCCCGATGAATGAAGAGCAGCCATTTCATCAACCATAGTCTGACGCCAACCAGGGTGGGAAAGGCTTCTTTAACAGATTTAGGGGCAGAAACAGAAGATAAACATGTGATAAAAGCATTATATGAAGGTGAGAGACGATCATATGAAATAAAGTTGTATATGGGAAAGGGATTTCGTGATGACCTGTTACCTACACGACTTGCGATAGGAGAGCTTGTTACTGGAACCGGGTTCGAGGGCATAGATAGCTCGAGAGATGAATCAGTTGGGATTTCATCGATTTGAACTGTCGCGGGTGGTCGAGAGCGGCGATGATAAGTGTAAGGAAAGGGGGTAACATTGTTGTTTTGTAAAGGAGGTTCAGTAGGTGAGGGATTAGGATTTCTAGGTGATGACGGATCTTGAGGTAAATGCACCTCAGTCCCTCCTTGAAAAGTAGGAACAGGAAGAACATCAGGAAAATGAGAGATGGAGGTCGGTAAACTAGACGAAAAGAAAGGTGTTGATTCAAAAAAAGTAACATCAGAAGATACATAAAATCGATGTTTATCAGGGGAATAACATCTGAACCCCTTTTGCAACCTAGAGTACCCAACAAACATGCATTTTAAGGATTTTGGGGAAAATTTATCACGCCCTGGGGTAGTGTCCCTGACAAAACAGGTGCACCCAAAACTTTTTAAAGGAAGAGTATGAAGGGGTTTATCGAGAAATAAAATATTATAAGGTATCTTACCATGTAAAACAGATGAAGGCATACGATTTATTAAATAACAGGAATGAAGGATAGCATCTGCCCAGAATTCTGGAGGGACTTTATAGTGGAGAACCATGGTGCGGGCTGTTTCAACGAGATGCCGGTTTTTACGTTCAGATACCCCATTTTTTTGTGGAGTATCAGGACAAGATGACTCATGGAGGATGCCCGCTGAATCAAGAAAGTTAGATAAAGGAGTTGTAAAGTATTCTCCAGCATTATCACTTCGTAAAGTTTTAATAGACAGCCCAAACTGATTTTTTATCTCATTAACAAATTTTTGAAGAACATTAAGTACTTCAGAACGGTTTTGCATTAAAAAGACCCATGTACAACGAGAAAAATCATCAGTGAAGGTAACAAAATATCTAAAACCAAGAATTGAATTATAACGAAAAGGTCCCCAAACATCAGTATGAACTAAGGAAAAAGGGAAAACAGCTCTTTTATTAACACGATTAGGAAATGATGTTCTAGAATGTTTGCCAAGTTGACAGGCTTCACACTCTAGGGTAGATAAGTGAGACAAACTAGGGACAAGTCGCCGTAATTTATTAAGGCTAGGATGTCCTAGTCGGTCATGGGCAAGGGAAGGAGGAATGGTAGCAGTGCAAACTTTAGAAGGTTTTGGGGTAGATAATCGATAAAGTCCTTCTGATTCATACCCCGAGCCAATCATCTTCCCGAACGACGGTCCTGCATAATGACAGAATCAGAAGAAAAAGTGACCGTACAGTCCAAAGATTTTGTAAGTTGATGAACAGAAATTAAATTGAAAGGACAGTTAGGTATATAAAGAATTGAAGAGAGAGGCAAAGTAGGAAGGGGGGAAACCTTTCCAATTGCAGTAGCCGTACTCTTGGACCCATTACCGAAAACAATAGATGGAAGGGACTTAGACTTGGTGAAATGAGAAAATAAGGATGAGTTACCAGAGATATGCTCAGAGGCACCCGAATCGATAACCCATGGTCCGCTCAGGCTAGGTTGTGATACAAGGGCAGTATGAGTTCCTTCAGTGTAGGTGGTAGGAATGACACCAGAAGCTTTGGAATTGGCTTTAAATCTAGCAAACTCCTCATACTCAGCAGCGGAAATGGTTCGAGAATGTAATTCTCCGGATTGAGATTGAGCAACACTTGCTTGGGTACGTACCGGTCTCCCATGAAGTTTCCAACACTGATCCCGTGTGTGTCCAGTTCTGTTACAATAAGTACAAACTCTAGTGCTTTTCTGTCCACCACGATCGTTAGTTCGTCAACGACCTCCTTGTGTGACTAGAGCAGACTGTTCGGTAGTGGATGTGTGAGGAACTGGAATGGAGGTTACCTGCAAGAGACGTTTGAACAACTCGGTGGTCCCTGGGACAGTGTTGCTTCCAAGAACTTGATTCCGGATGCCTTCAAATTCAGGACCTAATTTTGTTAAGAGAAGTATTACAAAGAATTTTTCTCGTTGGGTAAGTTGCTCTGCGGGTGTACCACCAATAGGCATGAGTGTACCAAACTCAGTGATCAAACTTTGGGCTTTGCCAAGAAAAGTTTCCATATCAATACCATCTTTCTTCAGGTTAACTAAATTGTCAACAACATTGTAAATCTGAGAGACATCATTAGTGTATAGAGATTGAGCTTGATTCCATACCTCGACACATGTCTTAAAGGGTCGGAATAGAGGTAACAAATGGGGAGAAAGAGACTGCCAAAGGAGACTACAAAGTTGAGCATCTAACCTTTGCCAAAATGTCATATCTTTTTCCGGTATCTTATCCACTCCCTTGTGTAAGTGGTCAACAACACCTTGGCCCATAAACCATAAATCTACGGCATCCGACCAAGAGTGGTAATTTTGAGAACCACATAATTTTTCAGAAGTGATCACCGGGCTTCCAGACAAATTAGGCACATAAATAGAGCTCGAAAGAGTAGGCAGATTACTGGCAGGAATGGCAGGAAAAACAGTACCAGAATTATCAGAATTTTCGCCAGAAGACATTGCGACCAAAAATAAATCTGATTGCACGGAACGAACGGAGGAGAGCCGACGAGATGAACTGGAAATTATCGCCGGAAAAAGTCGCCGGAGACGGCTTCACGCGCCGGCGCGTGGCGTCGGAGCGCCGGCGACGTGGTGGCGCGTGGGGGCGCGTGGAGGATATTCCGGCGACCGGAATGGATGGGCAAGGGTCGCCGGAGGATGGGTAAGAGATTTGTAGTACTAATTTGATAAAAAAAAACTCACCAATAGCAAGTAAACTGCAAAACTAGTTTCGGATTAACAGTAACTTTTACTGTTCACCGGAAAAAAAATCAAATTTTGATTTTGGCTCTTGATACCATGTTGAGAAAGATGTAGAAGAGTTGTTTTATTACTTGCTTGTCTCAATGAGGAGACAACTGATAAATATATACAAACTAAGAGACACAATCCTAATAGACACAACCCTACACAACTTCAACAGCTATATTTCTACAGACACAACTTTTGTGTTTCAACAGCAAAACTCGATATCTCTCAGCACAGCTGAAGCTGAATACATCGCAGCTGGTAGCTGCTGTACTCAACTCCTATGGATGAGACAGATGCTTCAGGATTATGGTCTACATCAAGAGTGCATGACTCTCTACTGTGACAACACTAGTGCTATCAACATCTCCAAAAATCCAGTTCAACATTCCCGGACTAAACATATTGAAATACGGCATCATTTCATAAGAGAATTAGTAGAAGAAAAGGATATCAACCTGGAGTACATTTCAACAGAGAAAAATCTAGCTGATATATTTTCAAAGCCTCTTGATAACACAAGATTTGAGTTACTTCGAGCTGCTCTCGGGGTGTGCAGGTTTTCAATCTAAGTATGTTTTGTGACTCAAATAAAGTTTTTGTTTTTTTGTTGTTACTTTTCTTTTTCAGATTTAATCCAGAAAATCCTCCAGATATGATCTCTGCTCCAGTAAGCACTCCAGACCGGAAAATAAGCCTTTTTGACCGCACTAAATAATCAGATTTATTTATTAATTTCTTCTCTCTCCTGGCTGTTATACACCACCGCCTTCTTCCCCATTTAATAGAATCAAATCCCTTAAATTGCTCTCACCTTCCTTTAAACACTTCTCACACCTTCCATAGAAATTTCGAATCCTAGCCAAATTCTTCTACCAAATCGATTTTACCTATCTCAAATATGGCTAGCCATTCTGATCTAAACCCTTTCCTTTTCTATCTCACGAAAGATGAGCGCTTAGATCTATATCGTCAGATTCTTCGAGGCACAGCTCCAATTTTCGACATCTCTGCTCGCCGGGTTCTTGCAACGCTTCTTCGACACCCATCTCTGATGGAGGAGTTATCCGTGAAGGACTCAAAGGAGATCTTTTCCAGAGCATCAGGGATCACGGATGACCCATGGCCGCTTGATGAAATTTTAGACGAGGAAATTCTTCAGGAAGAGCTTCGGGCTCGGCAACTAAGGGCTCAATCTACGGTTTGATTTCTCTAATCTCTTAGGAAGCAATATCTTATTGCTTGTTAATTAGGCATGCATCACATTTTTTATGCTTTAATTTGCTTATTCTACCCTGATTATCTATGGTCATTTTTTTATGCTTTAATTCGCTTCTTGCATTGATTATTTATGGTATGTTTTTTGAGATTATGCTATTGTCTTGCGAAATTAGGATCCCTCTGCTGGTATGTCTATTGTGCCTCTGTCTACGATAGCCTTCACAGGTTCCCAACCTCAAAGCACCGACAAGGCCACTCCAAAAATGGCTGAGCATTCGCATGATCCCGCCACTGCTCCAGCCTCAGATCCAGTTATTGATGATCTAGTTTCTGCTCTAGGCTCTGTTCCAGAGGATGTTGAGGTATCGATTCGGGACATAGTTTCTGAGCCTGAGGATCCATCAGTTCAAGCAGCCATCATCTCAGACACCATTGCAAATATGCCTAACTCTGCCCGTGCAGAAACGGTTGTCCCAGTTATCAGAGTGCCGTTTGCTGCATCGAAGGCCAAAGGGAAAGCCAAAGTTACTGATCCAGATGAAGCTTCTGCTGCAGCTCCGGTGGCTAAGAGAAAGCTTCACATGTCCGGTGATGTTGAATTTGTCTCTGAATCTCGTCCTAGCAAGCGTTCTGAACATCGGCCTACGGGTCTTGCTCAGCGTACATGATCGAGAACTGGCGTGTCTACTCTAGGTCCTCCTCCAGCTTCTGCTCATGTTTCAAAGCCAACTGCATCATCCAGGTCCAAGACTGCTACGGTGTCCAAGGAAACATTTTTCAGACCAATCTTGCTCTCTCCTGCATTGGAAACAGTATGGCAGCAACATTCCAATCGCGATATCTTTGGTTGAGAAGAATTTCAGTATTGAGTACCTCATTCGCGTGTGCAATATCATTCCCTTTCTTCGTGCTCAGAACCTTCTCCAAACTATCCAGAATGTAGGAGCCTACTCTGCCTGGCTTATTCCGGAATTCTACGCCAATCTCACATCTGATTCTCTTCGGCCGACCTCTCCGCATTATCATCAGGTTTTTATCCGGGATGTTTGGTATGATTTTAGTCCCTCTATTATTAATGCTTATTTTCAGCGTGATGCGTGTGATGATCTTTTTGAGCCTGCTGGGGACTTTCTTGCATCCCATCTTACCCACAATGAGATCAACATCTGGCCAAAGGATGGTCTGCCTTCGAATGTACTTACTGCAGTCTATTCGGTTCTGTTTCGCCTAGCTTCTAGCAATTGGATCCCGAATGTCTCTGTGCACACTGTCAATAAGAAGATGGTCTCTCTGTTATACAAAGTTCGACATCAACTGCCTATTGATCTTGGTCACCTCATCTATCATCACATCATGAGTTTTGCTAAAAAGAATGAAGCCAAGATTCATCTCCCTTTTCCATGCCTTATCACCGGGATTCTGCAACAACAAGGGCTTCAACTCTATTCCAATGAAGAGCTCTGCCATGTTACTCACAAGACTTCTATGGACTCTTGCATCTTCCAAAGGTCACACTATGATGGTCGTGCCACTCTCTCCTCAGTTCCACCTGCCCCTGCTCCAGCTGATCCTCCAGCGACAGGCCTGGACACTACACTGGCTACTTCTGCTACTGATTCTGCTTCGACACTGGCTGTTCTTCGTCAGCAAGTCACCTTTGTTACTTCACACATTGCTACAATGAAGGATGCCTCTCTAGCCATTCAATCTTCCATCTCTACTGCCGAGGCTCAGCTGCTCCGCACCAATCGCCAGATTGCCTCTATTGAGAATGCTTCTACTGCTGCTCCTGCTGGTGATGATGAAGACTTGGAGACCTCCTCCTCCTCCACCCAGTCCTGATGCTGCTCTTTGTCCATTAGATTAACAAAAAGGGGGAGTGCACGTAGTAAGGGGGAGTACGTTTTTTTTTTGTGAACTTAGCCATAAGTGCCAGTGAATAATGTGGTGTGCTCTACCTTTATTTTGCTTTTATATGTGTTAAGGTGCTGCGTGTTTTGCCTTGACTATGTGATAAATATATTATGTGACATGTATGTGTTCTGTGTCTCTTTGTGCTTTAAATTTCTATGTGTTTGTATGCCTTAATTGTGTTTGAAATTCTCTGGCACAACATTGGTTAAGTTTAAGGAGGGTGTGTGTCTAGCTACTCTTGACTATTGACTAATCCGATCTCAATTGTATAGATTATTCATTTGGCAATTCATTTTAAAGTCAATGATATCTTTTAGTAGTTTTGTCAACTAATAGCCAAAGGGGGAGATTGTAAGTGTAAATATATTGCACATTTAAACCTCTGTATTATTGGCTTAGATTAGTTGTCAAAGTAGTCCTGGATTAGTTGTTGGATTAGTCACGTCGTCTGGAGTAGTTGACTGGATCAGCGCAAGGAAGTAATCCAGGAAGTATAAAGCTTGTTCAAAGTATTTATTCAAGACCCTATCAATGGGGAGATCTAAATCTAATGGAGCAGCCGAATTCAAGGAATGGAAGAGTGCATGCTTTGAGGATCAAAACATCATTTACAACCTATATATAATGCTACCTTAATTAGCATTAAAATTGCGCACTCTTTCACAAACTTACTCTTAAAATCTTGGTGCATCTATACAAATATATCTTGTACTGTTGTGTGTGAAGAAGATCTTGCAATCAAATCATGAAGAAATGAAGAACGCCTGCACATCGGATCCACTGGAGTAGGTTCTGGAGTAGTTATAGGTTATACTTTAGAGTGTAATTAACTTTCCTTTTGTACTCCGTTTTTCATCATAGTGGATTTAGGTTGATGTGAGTGGCCCCGCAGACGTAGGAGTGAGGCTCCGAACTGCGTGAACATATCCTGGTGCATGCTTTCTTTTACTGCTATTTATTTCGTGTTCTTTATTATATCTGGAATATGATTTCATCTAGTCCAGCGTTATAATCGAAATAAATTAAATGTTTTAAAGGCTATATCTTGCTTTCAAGACTCACGTGCGTTTTCAATGATCAAGTAACGGGCGAAGTTGGTGGTCAATTTCAAGATGAATTAATACAGGAAATTCGAACCAATACCGCCAGTACACAACAAATGGATCCACCCAGTACCATGCACCCATTTGAACCAGATTTAAGATGGCTCAAAAATCACCCTCCAGAATTAATTATTGGTAATATTCATGAAGGCGTAAAAACGAGATCATCTACCATAGAAGCATTGTTCACATGTTATCTATCTCAAATTGAACCAAAAGAGGTTGACGAAGCTCTAAATTTTCCGAATTAGATAAATGCTATGCAAGAAGAGCTCGATCAATTCAAAAGAAATGATGTTTGGGAACTTGTTCCAAGACCGGCGAACCACAATGTTGTAGGAACCAAATGGGTCTTCCGGAACAAAGCAAACGAAGAAGGCGTGATTGTTAGGAATAAAGGAAGGCTCGTTGCAAATGGATACTCTCAAGAAGAAGGAATAGATTTTGATGAAACTTTTGCACCAGTAGGCTGACTCGAAGCAATCAGAATTTTCCTAGCCTACGCCGCACACAAAGATTTCACCGTTTATCAAATAGACGTGAAAAGCGCATTCTTGAATGGTCTACTCGAAGAAGAAGTTTATGTCGAACAACCCCCAAGTTTTGAGGTAAAAGGCGAAGGTGATAAAGTCTACAAACTTAAAAAGGCATTATATGGGTTGAAACAAGCACCTAGAGCTTGGTATGATACTTTGTCAATGTTCTTGATAAGCTGTGGATTCACCAAAGGCCTTGTTGACAAAACTCTATTTAGAATTCAAGATGGTGATCATATTTTATTAGTGCAAATATATGTTGATGATATTATTTTTGGAAGCACTAACAATTCTTTGTGTGAGAAATTTTCAAAGCTTATGCAGAATAAGTTCGAAATGAGCATGATGGGTGAATTGAATTACTTCTTGGGCTTACAAGTCAAACAACTGAAAGAAGGAATATTCATCAATCAAGCAAAGTACACTCGCGACTTGATAAAGAAGTTTGTCCTTGATGGAAAGTCATCAATCAAAATTCCAATGAGCACATCATTAAGGCTAGACAAAGATGAAGATGGAAAGGATGTCGATCAAACAAAATATAGAGGAATGATTGGTTCTCTTCTATATCTTACTGCAAGCAGGCCAGAAATTTCTTATGTTGTGGGAGTGTGTGCAAGATTCCAAGCAAATCCTAAAGAGAGCCACGTCACCGCAACAAAGAAGATCATACGATATCTGAAAGGCACAATCAATGTTGGATTGTGGTATCCAAAAGGTACAGATTTTACTCTAACGGGTTTTTCAGATGCGGATTTTGCAGGCTGCAAAACAGACAGAAAAAAGCACGTCCGGGACATGTCAGATCTTGGGGGGAAGGCTTGTTTCTTGGTTCAGCAAAAAGCAAAATTCCATCGCAACTTGTACCGCCGAGGCCGAATACATTACTGCAGGAAGTTGTGCGCAAATTTTGTGGATGAAGCAACAATTGAAGGATTACGGAGTTAATTGTGATGACGTTAGTATTTATTGTGATAATACTAGTGCAATCGCTATTACTCACAATCCGGTGCTTCACTCAAGAACCAAACATATCGACATTCGAAATCACTTCATAAGGGATCACGTTGAAAAGAAGAATCTAAAGATCGAATATATCCCTACGGAAAACCAAGTTGCTGATATTCTCACGAAGCCTTTATGCGAAACGAGATTTTCTACCTTAAGGCACGAGTTGGGAATGATTGAAATGAGCTAAGTATCACTAGACTTAATCTCTCAATTTAAATTGATACTTGTGCTCAAAATAAAATGTTTTACGTGAATAAATTGTTTTATGTGATTATATGCATATGTTTATTCGAAATTTTTTGTATAATAAAATTGCAATATGTGTTAGGAATTTATTTGTGTATTTGCATGTGTTATTTAACGTGAAATCATATGCCATGCAAATTAATTTGATAAAATGTGCATTTCGTGTTTATTTGACAATTTGTTTAAAATTGCATGATTAAATGTGTTATTTAGTCTACAAGTATTTGTTCATGTTTGTATAATTTAAATAATTTGTTTGCATGAACAATTTGCCTAAAAATTTAATTTAATGTGTTTATTGCATTATATATGTGTTACGTGCATATGTAATTTATGTGATATAATTTGCTATAAAATGTTTTAGAAATCTGATCTGAAAGTTAAACATTTGTTAGTTTCTAAAATTTTTTAGAATCTGATTCGTATGTAAAATTTATATGAAGTTGTTTCTAAATATTAATTTGGAATATATGTGTTAATTTTGTTAATTTTCAAAATGTGTTTAATTTGATTGGAAATTACCGTGTATATGTTTAATGTATATGGTTATGTGTGATTGATTATTTATGGATTATTTTTGCTACTAACGAGATGTTTGAATATGATTATATTTGTGGTACACATTTTTGAGAAGGAAATCAGGAGATAAAGGAGGAAAATCAGAGTTTAATTGGATATCAAACCTCCACCTATAAACTCCTACCCTTACTAAACCTCCACCCATCCTAAACCTCCCCCAATAATACTCTCCTAGATCAAATCTTTCCAAACAGATTCATTCTCTCTCAAATCGTCACCCTAATCCCTCAATAACTCTCCTAGAAACTGCTACCCATCAAATCCACCGCTTTCTCGACCAATGAAGAGTCATGCAAGCATTCATCACACCTTTTGAAACCAGACGTCGGATATATCCAAAGGAAACCTTTCAACCCCTCCATCATTAGCTCACACGGTTCTAGCACCTTCCTAGGCCTATAAATTTGGACCTGAAGCAAACAAGTCTGTGTGGAGATTTCTTTTGTTTGTATCTATTTTTGCAGGCTTCGATGACTCCGAAGAATCAAGAAAAGAGAAGATCTTCCAGGAGAGTGGTCGAGTAAGCAAGACAAGCGATGCTGAGAGCTCGACGTGCTGCAAATGGAGGACATGAAGTTGGAGACACACCTAGAGATCCCCTCATCATATTCTCTGAAGAAGAGGAAGGACAACCACCGACCAAGGATCAAGTCCAAAAAGGTCCGAAAGTCTCAGCACTGCAGCAACGACGCTCAACGCCATCACCACTGTCATCTCGACCTCAAACTCGCAGCATTAAGCGATCTGCTCGACCTCCAATGGAACCCGGATTAGTCTATGTTTCAAAATCAAGCTCTCCGTCTCCACCGCATGCTGATCTTGAGGCTAATCACGGTGCTGGTTTCTCTACCAATGAAGCCTGAATGTGTGATGTGATCTGAAAATGTTCTCTCTCTCTCTCCCTAAGAAGGAGATAAATAAAAGAAAAATGGTTGTTTTTGCTACTGGTTCTCTCTATCTCTCTCTCCTACAATGAAAAATCCCTAAGATTTATAAAAAGAACAAAAGTTTCGTAGCCAAAAAGATACACGAAAAAATAATATGAACAAAAGCAAAAGGGAGAATAAAAGAAATAATTTAAAAAAACAAATTGTGGCTACAAGAAGGGATAAAAGAATAGAAGAATTAAGAGGAGAAGTGTCAGAAGAAACAAGAAGAGATATACCTGTGGAAGTTACAGTAGAAGTTGCTACTGAGACACAGAGAATTTATCCAGTGTATTGCCAGTACACCATACCGAGTCTACCATGCCTATCATGAACCCTGTTCTAGAAAATGAAGATTTATTTGCAGACACCTACACAAGAACAGAAGTCTTAGAAGAAGAGATTTGTGATCTCAATCAAGAGGTCGAATCACCTGAAGAAGAAGAAAGGATGCAACTCGTTGATACACCCGTTCTCATAGATCCGAGAAGGAGTCCATTCGGATCTTGTAACACCCCGTGTTACGG